TTACATTAAATAACAAAGATCGGATTTTTCTACATGTTCTGTCTGTGCAACATCCTTAACACTTTAATTGATTTGAAATGATCTTGGCCTTGTAAAGCCTGCTCACTAAATGGCGAGAGTTTTTTCTCTTCCTTTGAACCAGTATAAGCGTTTTGCAGCACCTGGTTCTTTGAAAAGCAGAACCCACACGCCATACCTACAAGTTGGCGCACAGCCAAGGAAGTCTTTGTGTGTATGTGTTTGTGGTGAATCATTCGTGGCCTGTAAGATCTACCAAAATAGCTTTGTTTGAAAACCTTGTTTTCCCTATCTTTTTCTGATGAGTCAGACTTTGGTGCTTTAGTGTCTAAATTTTCTTTTCTTTCTTGTGTCTCATCATGTTCATTCAGAAGATGTTCTTTCACTAGTTCCAAAATTTGTATTTCTATATTCTGTCAGTTTTCATCTTGAAACATACACACAGCAATATGCTCTGAATCATAAAATTCTGCATTAAATCCCAACACTTAAAACATTCTCAACATAGGTCTACCTGCACTTCTGTTCGCATTTTCATTCAGTACAAATTCATTAACATTTCAAATTCATTAGCACTCCTGAAACTTGAAACTATTTTAATGTTAAGAAGATTTTGGCTGCAAGAAACATAGAAAGCAATGCTAAGTGGTTCAAACCATAAGGACATTTAATGCCTCATGGATGAATATGAGAATTAAGAGGGCTCAGGGTTAGTTGAACAGGTCAGTAATGGCCTGGAGAATTCAGGTTTTTCCCATCTTTTGTCATTCTTTTCTTTTAAAGTACTTTTATTGAGGCATAATACAGATATAAAAACATTCACCAATTTTAATTTTACAACTAGAGAAGTTTTGACAAAGGTATAATTATACAGGCACTACTACCACCAAGAACATGAATATTTTCATCCGTTCTGTGGGTTCCACTAAGTTCTTTGCAGACAATCTCTTCTGGCAATTTAAAGTAAGTGCAACTATACAATTTATTCCCTTTTATACTTTCTTCCTTTCACATAGCATCATGGGTTTGAGATTCATGCAGGTTATTGCTTAAATCAGTAATTTTCTCTTTTTTATTACTAAGTGATATGGCACTATGGCTTACATCTAATGTCCCCCAAAGCCACATGAGGTCATAGGTGGGGAGTTTTGAAGGTGACTGGATTAACGGGTGTGATTCTAGGATGAAGGACGTGATGCTGGGATTAAAAGTCTGCTGCTGGGATTAAGCATGCCCCACCTGGGTGTGAGTAGCACCAGCCAAAAGGCAGGTGGGCTGGAGTAAACGAAGGGACAGAAAGAAACTGCTGGTGCTACTTCCTCCTTTACTGTCTCCTGCCTGGTTGCCATGGAATGTTTCTCCTCTGCGATGCTTCTCTGCCATACCACCTTGCCTTGGAGCCAGCTGACTCCACAAAATGTGAAACCTCCACAAACTGTGAATCAAATAAACCTTTTCTTCTTTAACTTTGGGTTTCGGGTATTTTGTCTCAGCAAGGAGGAAAGTAACTAAAACAACTAGCTAATGGGAATTTATTTCCAGCATTTGGAATATCTTTTGGCTATTAAATATGAAGCTGCTTATTAACACTCACACAGCATGTTTTTATATGGATAAAAAATACAAATTTCTCTTAGTTAAGTATCTAGGAACATGAATGCTGAGTGATATGATAGTTATACTCTTAACGTTCAGTAGTTGCCCCTTGACTGATTTTACTTTCTGAGGAGTCAGTTATCTATGGGCAACCATGTTCCTAAAACATTAAATTTTTGTAATAAATCCTAAGTTTCAAAATGTATGTTCTTGCACATGATGGAATCTCCTGCTGCCCCAGTCTGTCCCAAAGCATAGCATATCCTATTTTGAGACGGTTCCCTAAGAAAACTACCATCTCCCAGGAAGAAATTTTCTAGCCTGAATATCAAAAATGCCAATAGTTGAGAAATACTGTTTTAGGTCACAGTCGGGACTGGCTTAAACTGAGTTAGAATACTGAAGTGTTTCAAGTTCAGAAATTATTTAAATCAAGCTTTTAGAAAGTTAATTTACTCAGCTGTCTGTTGTAAACAGACCGAAGGATTAGAAGGGTAGAAAATAGGGATGTCATTAGGAAATTACTAAATTCTCCAGATAAGAGATTATGGTTTGATCAGGATGACAGCAGCAGAAATGGTTCTGGATATGTTTTGAAGGCTGAAGTAACAAGTTTCACTAACCCACTGACAGCGAGAAGCCTTGAGTCCTTTACTGTGGCTGGCATCCGAGCTTCATCTCCCCCAAAGTAACTGATGTGGGAAGTGGTGGAAAGGAAACGCGCACACAACAGCATTTGGAGAACACCGCATGCAGTTAGGACTAGCAACCAGCTGCACCTTTTATGTATACCATACGGAAGTAAGAATAGGCGCTGTTGAATTCAGTTACTATTTAAAGGGCACAACTATTCTACAGGCTAAATTTCTTTTAAAACGCTTTTACATCTACAGCATTTTAGAAATATGTCTTTGAATGCCACCGCTCATCCCAGTGATGGTTTGACAGGTATGGGACGTTTCAATTTCTTCATTCCATCAGGGTCGTTGCAGGGCAGTCCTATCTTTCTGTCAGTTTTTGCATTCTAGACAATGATGGTTCCTACGTAGAATACTGATGTCAGTGATCACTGCTTTCCGAGCATGTGTTTTGTCTACTCTAAAATACTAGAAGCTGAGTACGCGAACTTCACTGTTAGAAAACTCAAGACACGTTTTAACTGCCATAACCTTATCACCAATTATAATCTCATAACCCCGTGACTGATTATTTCTGTTTCACAGAAGAAAACCACGAAGCATAGCAGTGTTCTGAGGATTTCCCACCCCCGGGAGCTGGGCCAGCCCCGCCGCCTCTGGGTGTGCAGGCTGCGTCCCGGCTCTGCCCAGGCCGTGGGCTCAGACTCGAGGGACCCGGGGCGGTGGTACTGGGGCTCGGCACCGGGACCGCGAAGCCGCCCCGCGCAAGGGCGCAACCCGGAGGTTCGGCCCGAGGGCTCCCGGCCGGCTCCGGGCAACAAGGCCTAGACCACGGCGCTCTCCGGCGTCTGGGCCGCGCCCTCCAGCGCCCGCGGCGCCT